AAGTCCACATAAGCTCCAGCAGGGTGGCTTGCCTTATCAAAATCACATCCCAAATTCACCACTTCTCGCAATAACACTATCAAACTAATCGGCTCATATTCCAGAAATAAGTCGACCATTCTGTTCAAATAAGGTACACCTGGAAAAAACGCCGCTACCAGGGATCGAACCCGCGACCTCCCCTCCTACACAGCGCTGGCTGATTTCTGGTTACCAACAAATACTTCAGATAACGATGCAACAAGGCCGGCTCCCCATCCAGAGTCGTCACTATTGACCCAACAGGAAACAATGCCTGCCAAAAATTTCCGAAATAATTTCGTGGCGCGTGAAAAAATCCTACCGTATTATTTGACAGAACCGCACAGGTCGCTAGAGGATTCGTCTCGAAGAGATACAAAACATGTCGGGAAACCCACTGCCTCACAGCCGCCGACGACTGCAGTTTACTACTGTCCGAAATAATACTAGAAAAAAAATCAAAAAATAATACCAATACCACAATTTCCTCACTTGAATATTTCCGCCGCATCCCCAAGCCGCATTTCTACTGGCAATAAATTCCCCAAATCTCCAGCCCTCGTATAAGCATATCTCAATGCGAGCAGTAGCGGCACGTAGTGCTCTGAACAACATCATCAACAGCACTGGTGGGCCTCAAGGTCTTCACGAGTGTGGGAAAATATGAGGAAATTTTGGGAAATTCTTATTGTACCCGAATTCGTATGTGAACTTCTATAATCAATGAGGAAACTCTGCTGAGCTCAGCAGCTGAGGAAAGCAAACATATATCCCTACGCCAACTGAGCAGGAATTTGCCTATCTTCCCATACTGATGCTAATTACATCACATTAATCTTCGCGCACGCCCCGATAATCGATTTGGGAGTGTGAATCACACACACATTAATCTGACTCACCCCTTTCCTCAGAAGGATCGATTGACAACAAATCGTCGTCATCCTCTCCATCAGCATGTCTAGTCTCCTCAGGAGCAGCAGCAGCAGCAGCAAGAGGCGGGTTGTTCTTTAACGACCAATTCACACTCCAGTGCTGAAAATATATATATATTTTTCCGCAAAAAAATAAGAAAAAATCCTCATTTTTCGACCATAAGAAATTCCCAATCAAAATACATTCTACTCACCAATATTTTTTGTCATATATTTTAATATAACAATTATATTATATTGGAGTTTCATCCGTGATATGAAAAACACTAGTGGAAAACATATTTCACGACCACGGCATACCGCGAATATCGCGTTTTTCACCATGTTTTACGCCACTTCACGTAAAACGGGTGGAACTCCATTTAATATTTATTATTCACTAATACACAGACTATATAAATACATTATATTATAGTATTAATAAAAGCATTTATATGTAATAAGATAAAGGTTATCACCGTAATCACTCACCTCGGGTATGACCTCCCCGATGAGTTTAATCATGCGAGTTTCCGAATACAACTCCCGCGGCCAGCGTTGTAGTAGAGGAAGTAGTCGAGTCGGTTGGTGAATAATTACACTGAAAAAATATTGGAGGAAAAATTTGACAAAAAAACGGCGCATTCATACAAAAACTTTCTTACAGGGCAAAAAAATTATTTTTCTACTGAGACATTCATTCAATCAAATACGGAGCTCAGGGTTGTGGGTTCGATTCCCAGCAAGAGCATTTTCCGCTTTTTCCACAGTATATGATGGAAAATGATAATATTAATGATGATGCTACTAATGATAATATTTACATTCATAATCTACGCTCTTCGAAATTGTGTATGGCTTGGGAGCTCAACTGGTGACAGTCACAAAACGACAGTAATAGTATTTTATATAACGCTGATTCGAATCAATCATATCATTGGAGTTGCACTGAAAAACATATTCCACTTTGCGGAGAAAACACCTGACCGGTCACTATCGCGTTTAAA